AGCAGCAGCGTAGCAGATCTGTTCCGCCAAGACCAAATACATTAACATTGTCATATACATCACCATGCTAAAATGTTCCGAGAGTTGTCATGATTAAAATACTCCTTTTGAATTTTACTTGAGTAAAAGTACATAAAAAAATGTATATACTTATAATATTAAATAGTATTAAAGTAAATGTTTTGTTTAATTTGTAATTTAATTTTAACTTGTATATTTTTATATTTAATAATTTTATAGTATATATTTTATATAATCCTACTGCTCAAAATACCTGGGGGAGGGGGGCTTGTTATACACTATCAAAACATTAAATATATTAAATATCAATTTAGGTTACTAATAGCCTACTTAATTGAGTGAAAAAAGTGTTGTTGTGTTGACAAACAATATACTGTAAAAACAGACACCACATAGGTCAAAATGTATAAAATTATAAGAAGAATGTGTTATTTTTGCATAAAACCTAACCCACTGAGATGGTGATACACAAATATGGACATGTTTGCATTCAAGTATTTCATACAGTGGGCTTAAACAGTTCACTTTTTACAGCAGTTTTGACCTAAATACAGTATGATTTTCATTTACAATAATAAATCCTTAAATCCGGCATTGTTAACTTATTTTTTGTGCTATTAGTTGCGCACATACTCTGATGCTCTGATGGTCTCCCATTCCTGGCTCATTTTGAGTCAGACTTGTGAATTTACTGAATTGTTAACTAGAGACTCGCTCTGACTAGATCATTTGAATCAGTGAGCTGTCGACTCAAGAACAGCTGCAATCCGATCAGTTCAATTGGCGTACAAATCGTTCAGTGCGATTTGCGAAATGATTGAACAGTTTAATTGAAAAGAATCAGCTCGCTCATAAATTGCACACTGCTATCGCGTCTCGGAGCAGGAGACAATTTCTCATGTTTTGACATATTTTTAAGAAATGTAGTGGAGTAAAATGTACAAAATTATGCTTTGTAATGTAGTGAAGTAAACGTGAAAGTTTCTCAAAATAAAAAATTGAAAAATGTACTTAAGTACAGTAACAAAGCAAAAAATACTTGGATTACTGTCCAGAAGTGACCGATTTCTTCCTAATATGATACTTGCAACAGCCTTGAAAACAAAACAAACTAGTGAGGAAAAGTATTTAGATCCAAATCTGTTAACCATAAGGCCACAGCTCCAACCATTTTCAGTTTGCAGATCAATTTTAATAATATTCTTTTCAGATTAGTTCTGAACAAGTCCTTTCATGTTATGTCATGGTGATATACTGGTTCTGAATTAACGTGGCCTCTATTGATATTGATTTGCTCTTGGATGTGTTGGCGTGGGTTTGTGTTCGTTCAAACAGGGACTCAGCGTTGGCCTGTAATAAGCTGCCTCATGCCAGCTCCGTGGCTCATATCGAGGGCGTTCTTCAGCAGTTGGATGAGGCTCAGGCTCATATGGAGGAGGTTTTCCACGAGCGCAGGATCAAACTGGACATCTTCCTGCAGCTCCGTATCTTTGAACAGTATGCCTTGGAGGTGTGTGTTTGTGTGTGTTTGATGGCCTGAACCCAAGTCATTATCAGCATAACTTTATTTGAACAGATGTGCTTCTGTGCTGTCTGCGTTTGCATTTCTGCATGTTTGTGTATTATGTCAAATGTAATGTTTTGAGTAGCGTTGTTTGTTTTACTGTATAAACACTTTATCTCATAGTTCATCCCCAAATTCTGTCATCATCTGAGTGGCTTGCGTTCTTCTGTGGAACACCAGATTAGAATTTTTGAAGAATATCCTGCCTACTGTTTTCAATATGATGAAAGTGAATTAAGACGAGTGCTGTCAAACTTAAAAAAATATGACTTGTGCACTGTATTTCAAGTCTTCTGAAGTCATACATGTTTTGTGTGATGGACAAACCAGCATTTAGGTTTTTATCCACTGATTATCCTCGCCTCCAGTGCAGTTATTTTACTATTATTTATAAATATTAACATTTATTAACATTTTGAATTTGCTTTTATTTTTAGTTTTCATTTTAATTTTAGTTTATGTTTTAATAATTTTGTTATGTGCATTTGTCGTTTTTATTACTTTTCGGGGTTTTTTATGTTTCTGTTTAGCTTCAGTATTTTTTTATTTCAATTTTAGTTTTAGTAATTTAAGTACTTTACAGTAACTTAAATTTATTTCAGTTAGTTGCTAAGGCAGCATTTCTTCTTTGATTTTTATTTGTTTTATTTTATTTTATTTATTTTATACCTAAAACTTTATAGAGAAAACATTTTAATCGTTTTTTTTAGTTTTATTTACTGATAACAGCAGTGCTCCAGTGAGCTGTTAACCACTGAAACCAGATTGTTGAATGAATGAGTTGAACTGGATTGGTCTGATTTATGAGCAAATCATTGAAAAGATCCGACTCAAAAGAATGATTCGTTCACAAATTGGGCATCATGGATGTCAAGATTTCTGGCAATTAGTGACCTAAATTCTGGTTACTGATCTCTATTCTAGTGTGGGTGTGAACTAAAGATTTATTTAATTTTATTAATATGTGTGAAAATATATGCATCTGTTTCATAGGTGATGGGTGAGCTGGATGCATGGAAACAGGATCTGATCCGACAGGCAACTGATTTCAACACAGAAGAACTCACGCTGGCTGAACAGAGATTACACAGACACACTGAGCGCAAACTCGCCATGAACAACATGACCTACGAGGTTATACAGCAGGGACAGGATCTTCATCAGTACATCATGGAGGTCCAGGCTTCAGGTGAGGAGATATAGAGCCAGAGTAAAGGACACAGGAAGAGTGCGAGAGAGAGTAATAGTTTCATACTACAGTTGTAGGGTTCTGCTGAATCAGTGTGTTAATGATTTTGGTGTTTGTTGGCAGTTGTTGCTGTGTGGTATCACTATTGGTGTTTGCTTTCACGGTTGGTTTTTCCGATGTTCATTTTGCATTTGTCGGGTCATGGAAGCTTTGAGCAGTGTGGCATAATTTCCTCCAACAAACCCTGATATAATCAGGGTGCTTGATCAGAAGCAGGTTCCATGACAATGAGATACATTTTTATTAAGTGAATTAAATGATTAATGACTCAGATGATTAGGAATTAATCACATGTATCAATATTTATGGATGCCTATAGATAATGTAAAGACATTGCTGTGGCAGATTGTGGAAAACCATTGAATAGACATCACATGACATAATAATAGACATTATTTCCATGTAATTAAACATAAGCCTATCGCAAGCGTACAGCCCACAGCAATCCATATTTAATCCAATCCATATACACAAATGCCAGTGTTCTACTCTTTTAATATAAGTGCCATGATGGTGTCTCTCACACCATGTGATGAAAACATTTATTTTTTACCAACTAACCCTTTAAATTTCATCTTGTTGGGGTTAATGTGAACATTCAACATCCGACTTAACAACGTTTGTAATTCTTCTGTTTATTGGGTCAGTAAGATGGCTTGCTAATGTCTGCTGTAGTGTCCAGTGAGAGATGAAAAGAACGCAGGAGGGATGATGAGTAAGTGTTCGGTGGAGAGATAAAAGAGTGTGAATCAGTCATCGCTTCCCTCCTCCGTGCTCTGTTGCATTTTATTGACAGTTACCATGGACACAACAGCAAAAACCTGCTACCCACATTTTGGGCTGTCTTAGATACGTGTGATGAAAGACGAAGAGAGAGAAGCGGAGGATTGGGTGGGAAAGATAAGGATGGAAAATGTGTGCATGACAGCCAGTGAAGGTGAAATGGATTGGAAGGAGCAGAGGGAGAAGACGGAGCTCCATACAGCTCTGGGATCTCTCACACTATTAACTCCGCATGCAGGGGTGAGGTTGCTATGGAAACTCCCCCTTTACATCCCATATACCGAGGTTTCCATGGTGACGGGGCCTTCGCTCGTCACATTGGGGTTGCCTCGGAGGCTCTATACTGCAGAGGCCATCCTGTCACTCACGCATCACGTTCCCATTGGAACCGGCTCCAGGCTGTACTGGAGACAGGTAGCTGAGGAAGTGGGGTGATGTAAGGGTTAGTAGAAGAAAATGGCCTGTGTTGTACCTGCAGAGAGTCTCTGTCTCTGGTACGCTGGTTGTCTGTCATGCGCTAATGCAGTTCTAGACATGCGAAGGCACGTATGATGGATGCCGCTCGGCTGTGCAGCTGGGACATTTCATCACACGCTCACCTGTCTGACATGTTCCCCGCTCACTGAGATCACAGCCCAGTCAACAATTTGATCTCACAATGATGTCACCATGAGCTCACACGATTCTCATGGTGTGGTCACAATGTGTGTGTCACAGTGAGCTAAAAGTGTAACCACACAGCGCACTCACTGTGTGCTCATACTATGCTCCCAATGTGAGGTCACTGCACACTCACTGTGTGCTCATACT